GGTAGTTTAGATAATCAGATTCTGTGCAAAATCTTGTATTTGGTACTAATTATTTAAGTTTATGAATAAGTAGATGGCTAGTTCCATACATCGCCTTGACTAAGGTAAATACTATTGCAGCATATTAAACATAGTATCTTGGACTTAATTCTTCATGGTTACTAAAGAGCTGATGTGCATTTCTGAACACTGGGCACTTCCTATCCCTCTATAAGTGCTTGGGGTCATGTGTCAGACACAGGCATTTAAGTTAACATAGTGTCAAGCTGCCTTAATCCTCAGTCACTGATTACAATGGACCTTATCTACTCTTACACTGACTGGTTAAGTATTATTTCAAAAGACTATTATAAGGAAGGGAAAATGCATATAGTATATATAAAAAGGGTCTCTGACCTTTAGCTTGTAGTGGTCAGTTCAGAAAGAGCATGGTAGATATGGACCCAGTATTTCTGGTTCATAATAGGATTATCATTTGAAAAGACAAAGCTGGTTTACACATCTAGATTGCACACAGGCAACTCATTAGCCCTTCTAATGCCACAACCCAAGACAACTTGGCATGATCTTCTGAAGAAAGAACACATATTATTCTTTTAATGAGCCCTTTATCTCCCAGCAGAGGCCGTGTTTGGAATCTCACTGCAAAATCCTTCAGAAGGAGGTGAGGTATTAAATGTTCTGTTTCATGTTTATTAACTTCTAAGATATTCACCAAAAGAACAGAGTGACCTGCTAAATGGTCTTTTTTTATCCATTTGGCTCCCTTACACCCTAATTAGGTCAATCCTCTGATGGTGGAAAACTTAAAAATACTTGCTCACCTTCCTCCATCTACTTCTATTATTTTTAGAAAAGGTCATTTTCTAAATTGCATTAGTGTAAAGATTTGGTGAGACTTCATCCATCTTAGTTCTCAAATTCCTCATTGAGAGCTCTCATGTCTTTATGATTATGAAACAAAAGAAGAAAGGGAGAGTAGTATTTCCTTTATTGAAAATGAACTTTCAAAATTATAAAATAGTACTTCTAACATAAACACTTCTTGTGGGTCAGATTTCTCATTGATACTATAGAATGTGAGACATAAGCAGCTTAATTGGAGGAATGATGTATCTTGCTCACACTCTCAGTGGATCATTCCATGGTTACTTGGCCCCATGTTCTTGAGCAGAGCATCATGACACTGGGGATGTCTTGGGAAGAAGGCTATTTATGTCACAGTAGAAAGTAACAGAGAAGAATGCAGAAACCAATTACAGCTTTCAAAGGCATGTCCCAGTCACCTGTTTCTCCATCTTTTCCCATCCTCCTAACATTTCTACAACCTTCTAAAACCTCACCACCAGCTGGGAACCAACCATGCAATAGTTGAGCCTTTGGGGACACTTCAGTGTCAAGCCATAACAAGCACAGAGTTGTCTACCTTTGGTCCAGGACCCTTCTTTCTTGGCAGACCCCCGGTTTACAGTTCTCCCCTATCTCTGAACATCAAAACTTCTGCAACCCTGATCCTCTTCATTCTCTCCCTCCCTAAGGAGACTCATCTGCCTCCTGTTCAAGTGTTTTGCCTACATGTGCACTACGAATGTACGGTACCTTCAGAGGTGCAATGCCTGCAGAGGTCAGAAAAGGGTATCAGACACCCAGAAGTGGAGCTACACATGGTTGTGAATGGCTGTGTGAGTGCTGGAAGCTGAACCTTGATACTCTACAAGAGCAGTAAGTGCTATTAAACACTGAGTCATCTCCCCAGTTCCTCGTGAGAATGTTTTGATCACTGTGCTATTCCAGTTCTTTTATACTCGGCACTCTGTCTTCACTTTGTGTTATCTTAACCTACACAAAGACTGATACAGTGACCAAGAGATGTCACTCAGATGGTCCCCTCAAGGAAGAAGTTGATGTCCTAGCAGCTTGAAATACTGCTCATAGGCAGCGTAAACTGTATCCCCTTTCTGGAAGTGCCTCAGCTACAGGAGATAAAACTCGTCCAAAATCACATCCTTTCTACAGAAGTCAACAACAAATGGCTGATTGAAGTGAAGATTGATGGAATTCATGGGCCTACTAGCTCAGCTGAGTCTGTATTATAGCTTGATTTCTCACTATGGTAAATCCCATTTGTCTTCCATCCTTCCACAGATATGGGTCTTGACGGCTCTCCCCAGTAAACACTCTGCTACTACACTGCCTCAGAGTTTGTTTCCAGTTATTCCTCAAAATGGGGTCTGTTTAAATGTTAACTCCTAGAGGAAGTCATAGTCACAGACTTTGGAAGCTGTGACCACAGAAGTATATCACCTTACACGCTTGAATGCTAGGAGTTAGAAATCTCTTAGGAGTCATGAAGCAGACAAGCATAGGGAACATTTTAGTAACTCCATGTGAGATAAAGTCAAGCTGGATCGCCAGGGAAACCTTTAGGGAAAATCCCTTAATTAACATATTATACATTTGCATATTTGGGTATACACTTGATTAAAATCAGATGTATTATGGGAAGGTCATGCCAATCAAAATAGAAAACCATTCAAACTATACCCCTAGTAACCGAACCCCTCCTTCTCTTGAACCCTATACAAGGAGGTCCAAACAATAATTGAGGCCCTTAAGTATTTTCACTCTTGGGGCAGCTCACATGCAGTGATTCTGACTGGCTCTATAGCTTTGCTATGAATAAAGTTTCCTGGCTACTTTGTCGTCTATGGAACTTATAATTCCTTGAACAAGAGGTCAAAAACTTGCAAGTATCCAGCCCAAATTCCAACCCATTATCAATCAGGCTGGTGCTTAATGTTCTACAAGAGGGAGGACTTTTCTAGCTTCTCATAATTGCTGCTGTCTTTGGTGTTCCTATCTAAAAGATGCTTCATGCTACCTGTCTCCATCTTGCGAAGAGCTATTTTCCACGTACCTCTCTCTTTGCCCAAACTTTCCTCCCATTATACAGGGACCACTGATCTTGGCTTTAAAGTTCACCTCAACCTAGTAAGAGCTCCCATAACTTAGTTGCAAAGACCTCCATTATTAAAAATTTTACATTTCCAGGCTTCAGTGATCTTTCAAAAGACACACACACACACACACACACACACACACACAAAGAGAGAGAGAAAGAGAAAGAGAGAGAGAGAGAGAGAGAGAGAGAGAGAGAGAGAGAGAGAGAGAGAGAGGCTTCAGGCCATAAGCTGTATTACTGAGGATTCTAGGTAACTTAAACTATAGCTAGTATTTGCAAAATTTCGAAGAACTAAATGTTTTTCTGCCATTTAATTTTTTCCCCTAAAACTCACTAGTAAAATCCAACATTTGTTTTCTTTGCCTCCTTTCCCATTAGGATGACAGCACATAACTTCTGCCATCAGAGGAACTTCTGCCAAGCACTGAATTGGAAATCATTGGTGCAGAAGAAATACACACTGTGAGGTTAGTATGACAGGGCAAGGCGTATCAGAATTGACGAACTGTCAACTGTGTCTACAGCCCCAGGAATGGCAGCCATTCTGCCTTCAGCTGACTATTCATATGCTGTCATTTGGGATACTGAAGCTGGATATGTAGTTTCTAAGCATGCATCTCTGTCTGTCCAGCATGCAATGTCAGAAAACTGTAACATCTTTTCTAAACTGCCTTTTATCTTTGACTAGAGAGTTGGTGTATTTTATCTGCAATTGAGTCCCTAACTTTTAAAAAAAATCCACCTTGAGTCAGATCAGATGAAACAGGGAAAGTTAGTTATGTACTAAAAGAGCTGTTTGAACCTCTGCAAGTTTGCAGAGATAGACCGAGAATGCAGGATTCTGACTCTGCCAGCACATCTTATGGATTCTCCCCCATTTCTTATCTCTGATTTTCTGTGCGTGACAAATTCAATCTTTCAGGCTGATTATCTTTCTGGAACTAGCCCAATAGCAGACCTTGGTCTTTGGGGGCCCCAAGGAAAGGGATCCATTCCTTCCCCAGTTCTAATTTTACAAATCCAGGAAAAGTCCTTTGATCAGCTGCCCACTCCATGAATGAATCAGTGTGGTCAGAAGCTGACTTATTGTGATTTTGTTGTAACTACGGTGGCCAGGAAAGCAGAGCATCCAAATGTTATTGAGAATGCATTCCGGAACAGAGAATGGGAAGGGAGAACACAGGAATGTAGAGGACTAAGGGAAAATATGCAGCATCACCTTGTCCTCTGGAAAATCATTTGAGCCAGCAACTATTTCTTTCTGTATTGACTACAGAGATGTTTTCAGATATCCCATTCAGAAGATTATCTGAGCTTACAAGTATCAATATGTACCTATTTAAAGTTTAATTCTAATCTCAGTATTCCCAAGACTGAATCAGAGAATCCCAGTATTGAGGTACTCTGACCTACATAATAAGACAATGTCTCAGATTAAAAAAATAATTGAAACTAAACTAAATAGATCATTTTATACATTAACTAGAATAGAAGCTTTTACTGACCACAAGTCCTTTTATTACATAATACCCTAGTCTCAGTATCTTCAGAGAACAATTAGTTGGGTGTAGAACGACATTGGCCTTTAGTCTTAAATTACTAAAATGTACCTATGACTAAATGACCAACTTGGAACATGGCATTTGAGTAACGAAGCATTAGCAAATGCTTATGAAAGATATATGTAATTTCACCAAATCAACTTTCATTATCCTTTTCATATTGAGAAATAATATAAAATCAACAATCTAAAAAAAGCAATCCCGAGTGCTGGGATTAAAGGCGTGTGCCACCATCACCCTTTAATCCCAGAACTCAGGAGGCAGAGCCAGGCAGATCTCGGTAAGTTCAAGGCCACCTAGGCTACAGAGTGAGTTCCAGAAAAGGTGCCAAAGCTACACAGAGAAACCCTGTCTTGGAAAAAAAAAAAAAAAAAGCAATCCCACTCTAACCTAGTTACATGGATTCAAACAGGTTAGTTAACTTCTCCTTGATTCAAGATCTTTGTCTATCCAAAGATGATGGTCTTGGTACTCACACATAGAATCCTGTGACAGCCAACTCCTGTCACTGTGTTTAACAGGTCTATTTGTAAGCATAACCCAAGTGAGTTTATCTTCAACACTGACATCACTCAGGTGCCTTCTACTTTTACTCTTATTCCCATGCTGTCTTTCAGTGCATCTGTGCTCTCTTGAAAGAGGTGTATATTGCTTCTTCCCTAAAGAAAAAAAAAAAAAAAAAAAGGAAAACTCTGAGAAACAAAGACAATGCAATCAAAGGCAATTTTTCCAACTCCTACCAACCTTAGAGTTGGATATGAAAGACAACAAAGAATTTCTTTAAAAAAAATCATCATAGTCTCATTTTCTTCCCCATAGCTTTTCTTCACTGATCTTTAGATATGAATCTCAGTATAATGGAAAGCAGAACACTGGGAGATAGGATGTCAATTCAGAAAAATATAGGCACAAGCATCCATTTTCTTCTCATATGCAAGGTCAATCTGTAATCCCCCAAAAACTTCATGACAAGCAAGCTGACAGACATAATTGGCCTGTGCACAGACATCATTGGCTACTGTATCTGCCAAAGAGAGCAAAGCTTCCTCCTAACCAATGGATCTGCATCCCTATTGCAGGAGCTGACAGCAAATGTAGAGGTCAATGATTAGTCCTGAGTTGAAGACTAGACTACTGGGAATTAACCCATGAACTTCGTCAAGCCTAATGACACTGGGCCCTGGTCCAATTTGTTTTCACAGAATTTCATAGTGGAAAGACAGCAAAACAAAGCAGAACAGCAAAACAGAATAAGAGCATCACACATACACAAAATAAAAAAGATTGAAACCGGGCAGTGGTGGTGCACACCTTTTATCCCAGCACTCAGGAGGCAGAGCCAGTAGGATCTCAAGTTCAAGGCCAGCCTGGTCTACAGAGTGAGATCCAGGACAGGCAACAAAACTACACATAAAAACCTTGTCTTGGAAAAAAAAAGAGTTGATAAATTTAACTATATTTGTATAAGAAACAAACATGGAGGACATGGAGGACCTGTGCATGGTTAGTTTGTGATCCTGTAGTCATGTGTTTTATCTTTCACATCTGATAATGGAGATGTTGAGGTTCAGAAAGTTGTTCAAGTTATTGTTTCTGAGCCTTCTTTTTCAAAATCTGAAGAGGGCTTCAGGGTTTGTCTTACAAGAGTACCATCTGTTCCTTTTATCATTTCTCTCTACTAAAGATAATATTGCTTCACATGAAAGCATTGTCTTGTCAGAGAGAATGTGCTATAAAATGTTAATTTCTGATCGACCGCCCATGTTATTATGTAACTGTATTTCTAAACCAAATATACAACATAGAAATTACTTTACAAAGAAAAACATCTCCTTGTCAAATTACTATTTTGTAAGCATTAAAAGGAAAAGGCACACTACATTTGTTTTGAGGAATTTTTTTTGTTCTGCACATTTCTTTGGGAAGATGAAAAACCTTCTTATCTACTTTGTTAGCTGACTGGGTATTCTTACTGAAATTTTTAAATCTGTAGCCATAAAATAATTTTTATTCTTATATTTAGAAATGCTCATGAGTTCCATCCAGTAAACTCAAATGCATATAGCAGACTTTTCTTTTCCTCTGCAATATGATTTTTTTCACATTACATGCAAAGTGATTGTAGGGAAACACACATACCTGGAGGCTGTTCCCATGAATGGATGAATAGATGCCTGTCTGGCTTTCACCATTTAGTACTCATCCCAAATTTTTCTCTTCAAAGTTATACATTGATTATTGTTCATTACACCAAAGACAGTGTTGTCTTTGTTTCCATGTTACTTTGGTTCACTGGTTTTACTAAGCAGCTCATGCTAAAACCACTGTGTTCATTCATTTGCTTATATTATTATGTACAAATACTTTAAGTAGAGTGTGAGGCCATGAGAGCAGGTGGACATCTCTTGATCATTCCTGAATTCTTAATACCTAGCACACAACTAACACAATAAAGACTCAGTGAGTAAACCACTAAATTTCAACTAAGGCTGAAGATCAGCATTCATCAGATAATACCATACTTGAAAACCTGACTGTGCTAAGCTCTACAAGAGATGAGCATGCTTCTGAAGCATGGGTTGTAGGAAGGTCTGATCTCCTCTAGCCTAGTGAAAGAGAGTTCAGATGAGATATGATGGAGATCAGAGCTTATGAGAAAATAAGTTCAAGTAAGTAAATGATAACATACTTTGCTGCAAATCAGTGAACAGAGGCCCAGGGAAGGAATAAGAAAGTGGCCTCTGTGGCTAGAATACAAGGCAGCCTGAGAGAAACTTGCCAATCATACCTGGAAATAACAGAAACAACTGAGACAATTATCATTATCCAACTAAATAATTGCATGAGTCACTGATCTTCTCCGTGTCCGTATCCTGTGTTTAGAAAAATTAGACTGTGTAAAACATAAAGGACTCTTTCCCTTATATAAAAAGTGCCCCCAAAATTATTGAGATATTCATTTTTTAAAATGCACTTGGATTGTAGTATTAAATCTAGATCATGATATACTAGAGGCCTTGGAATATGAGTCAGTACATCACACAGGAAATTGGCGGGGGGTTGGGGGGGGGACCCTGAGGAGGCTACAGCACTACAGCACGTAACAAATTTGATAAGGACTTAGGAGACAAAAGTCAGATGGACTTGGAATTGCAGAAAGTAAACAGCTCTGAAAACAACACATATTATTTCTATCCCACACAACCACATGAGTGATGGGACTGTTCAGTGAAAGGTTGACACTAGGATAAAACCAAGTATGATGGGAAAAGGGATTTGTCTGATGATTTGAAGTGTCACTGATGCTCTGGTTGGTGGTTTGGAACAAGCAGTGGAGTGCATAAATCCCTAGTTAAACAGCCTAGTCTGTGTTAAACCCTCAGACTTTGTATTATCTCATGGAAACCACAAGTGCCATGACTGATCTGCAGAAGGGATACACAGAAAGAGCCTTGTAAAATCTCAGCATTTAAATGCTAGGTCACTGAAGACATGCTGCAAAGGAGCAGAAAGTCCTGCCAGGAGTGTCAGGGATGCAGCTTCCATGCATCATCAATCAAGTTGGGCTGGCTTTTTCAGTGATGTGGCTGTCCCTGAGTTGTCCTTGATACTGTAAGTGACTCACTCCCTCACCCACACTCTTGCAAGGTAACCCCAATAACCTCACTGTTTCACTAAGGTGAACTTGAATTTGTTCCTTGGTCTGGTATTGATGCCCTATCTGGGGAGCAGACTTTTATTTGTAGCTCCCAGGAAATTTCACACAACACTGGTGTTAGATAAATTGTGCCATCTTTGAGAGATGGTCAGGATAGGTGAGAATTGAAGGTCATACAAGCGAAGCAACGAATTTATTTCAAGAAGCAAGCTGTCGGTCCAATACTTCTAATCTTGAGAAATGCACCTGGATTGTAATTGGTCATTTGGATGTTGCAATTATTGTCATTATTGACTTGTTTTAGAAATGGAGTGGCTAGTAGCCAGAGATGCTGTACCCTCTGTTCTTCCTGTGAGCTAGCATTTGCTTCCTCTCTCTTCATTTAATTAGCATTCTCCATCACAATGACTTCTTATCAATTTCCTTCTCTGACACCTCCTAGGGGAAGTTCTGATTCTCAGTAGATTCACCTGCTTTACATCTTGGCTCCTACCTAATACTTTAGGAAACCCACAGTCATGCAGGCTATTGCCTTATCTGATGCATAGGTATTTGCTGTATGACCTTTCCTGGGGAGATGTGAACATACATCTATTCACTCCAGATAAGGGACTGACAGCAAACCAAAGAACTAATTCTCTCCAAGTCTGCTTTGGTGAATGAATGAGTTGACAGAAGTTATATACAGGAGCATGAATGACTCAAAGATCTCTGTACTATTGAAAAGCTCACTGCAGCGTGGGTAAAGACATACACAAGGTGCATCCCTGGAGCTCCCTTCCCAACATGCTGACAGCTCCATCAGTTGGACTACCTCCTCCTCTACATATTGTTTACTGATTATGTAAGTTTGAGAAAGAGCCCTAGGGATCATGTAACACTGTCAGTCTCCGGAGAACTGCAAGCCATATTCATTTCCTGAGTTTGAGGAGCCCCCCTCTACTTCCAGAAGGAAATAATTCAACTCAGAAGAAATAGCTGCCCAATAATAATTAATATCTGACCTTTAATGTTAAAAAACAATGTTTCCTTTTGCATCACGCAAGTATCTATCCAGTTTTTACTACAATTAATTTGAATGCCAGAGTTGTATTCCAATCCCTAAAATTGTCTCATTCAATCTCAGAAAGACATTCTCATTTAGTTACAGAGAAAGCAACAAAAAAGCATTGAAATCATCACTTTTTCAACTTCCTACAAAGAAATCAGTAATTCTTAGAGACAGCATAAGATCTAGGGCCATTGGCATGGCTATTGTTTGGGAAATTGCCTCAACAGCTGTGTCTGAACTGCTTCATCTGTGAAATGGGCACAGTCCTAGTGTCTACCTTCAAAAAGAATGTATAGTTCAATGAGTCTGAGCAGGTGTAACAGGCATCCAGATTCTTGGTAAAATAAAAAGAAGACCCATTTATGGAATTCCTAACCAAACAGGTATCAGACCCTCCCCCGAGTACATTTCTAATGACTGATTCCTAACTTGTCATCTCCATATGCACTTTTCTCCCTGCATCTTGAATCTATGGGAAAGTCTTCACGCAGCCTTGATCTCAAAAATCCAAGGTATCTTGCCTTCTCGGGCAACTTGATAAATTGGTTATTACCCATAATTGCTCTGCTTTCATTCTCTGTCATTTCTTCATTATTCTGTTTCTGTTTTTCTCCTATTTCCTCATCACACCCTGGGACTCCTTTGAAATAGATATCAAACTTTAAACTAGTAATAGAAACAGACCTAAACTCCACATTAATAATACAAATAGCCATCAGAGGTGGTGAAACTTGGAGTCTGATTATCTGTATCTTGGGAGAAGCACTCAGAAGTTGTGGAGAGTTAGAGTCATGTAAAATTACTTGACCTGATCTGGGACTCTGGAGATTTTGTCTTTGGTTCACAATACTAAATTTTAATCAATGCCTAATCATATAGCTGCAATTCGGTGATGGGTATTGTGCTTCAGATGACACTGTTACCTGGGAAAAACTGGGACCTGAAATACAGTACAAGTTCTTGGGATGGAATGCTAGGTATATGTGCTTTTCTCGTGAATTCATTGGTATATGTTTTTTAAAGTTAATAATAAGATAAAAAGAATATATTAACTTACTTTAACTGTAGAATTTCCTTCCCTTTCCCCCTTTCAATCAATCCTAACAGTCATTTTAGAAAGACAGTTATTTTTATGTTTGTATGTCTGTGTGTATTCAGGTATTTCTGTGTGTAAACGTGTGTGTGTGTGTGTGTGTGTGTGTGTGTGTGTGTGTGTGTGCACGCGCGCGCGTGCGTGTCTGTGTGTGTGTGTGTGTGTGTGTGTGTGCATGTGTGGATGCCAGAGGTCAGCACTGAGTGTCTTCCTGTATTGCTCTCCATCTTATTTTTTTAAGACAGGGTCTCTCCTTGAACCTGGGGCTCACTGATTTGATTAGATTGGTTGGCCAGCAATTTCCAGAGATCCTTCTCTTTTTACCTTCCCATCACCAGGATCAGAGGTACGTAGTTCCAGGAAGGATTTTTTAACATGCATCATAGGCATTCAACTCAGGACCTCATGTTTATACAGCAAGCTCTCTACTGACAGAGCCATTTTCCAGGCCATTTTCATACTCATTTCTATATTACATATAATATGAAATAAGCTTCCTGGGTGATAAACATGGAAGTGGCTACTAAATTCACACTGTATAAACATAAACTGAGCTGCCATTATGCAAAATTAACCATAAAATTTTAGCATAGATGCTCAATATAAACACAATAAAGTACCTTGAATTAAAGTCACTAGCCTCAGATGAAATCAGAACATCACATGCACTTAAGTACCTGTGAATAAATGTGGTTAAATGTGTTTCTTTATACAGACAAGCGGAGCTACACATCAAGTTTAATTTTAAGATTAAAATTAATTATCCCTTAGGGTAAAACAATTGTTTCATATAGTTATAGAACCCAAGAACTTAAGTATGCTAAGCAAGCCCTCTATCACAGAGCTACATACTCAGTTGTAACAATTAAAAGGCATTTTTAATTAACTAACTTTATGTGATTTGAGCACTACTGTATTTTCCAAGTTATAAAAGGCATTAAATAGACAAAAGTAAACTTCAAAAAATATGATATGTCACAAGACTCATTTGTGATTTTTGCACCTTTAAAATGTGTTTGGTGAAAATAGTTCTAAATAGAAAAGGTCTTTTTTGTTTGTTTGTTTTTAAGGAATTTTAAGTAGTTTTAATAGAGAGTTAACAATTTCAGTGAGAATGTAAACCTGAACTCTTTAAAGACAGTAACAAGAAAACTAAACAAACCTGGGCATGCTGGCTCACACCTTTAATCCCAGCACTCAGGAGGCAGAGGCAGGTGGGTCTCCGTGAGTTTGAGGTCAGCCTGGTCTACACAGTGAGTGCCAGAACAGTCAGGGCTATACAGAGAGATCTTGCTTCAAACGAACAAAAACAAAATAAACAAAGAAAACAAACCCAAATAAGATGAACAACAGATTTGTTCTTCTGAGAACAACAGACATGAACATTCTTGTTCATAATCTTTTAAGATACATATTCTTCTTAAATATCAAGAGATCTCAGGAAACAGAAACAAAGTACAAAGCTCTGAATACTTACACTATCTTATGAAGCTCCCGTTATGTGCAGAAAACAAAGGGTGGGTCTGCTCAGGGCTGTAGAGGATGTCATCTGCGTCAGTAAGGGATTGAAGTGTGCTAACTAGAGTGTTTGCTGTGTTGTCTTTACACTGCCCGGAGGAGGATTTCACTTCCGTTCTCCCTAAGTTTGAAGAGCAGATTTGTGCATCAGACAGGTACTGATGGTGAAAAGCCACAAGACATATGCTATAAACCTCAGTCAGTTATAAAAGTAATGTTTAAATTGCAGTTTCCCTGGACGTAAAAGGCTGACCTTTTCCACCTGGATCTAAAGAACTCATAGCTTGGCATGATGTCGTGGCAACATTGAGTTTGAAACATATACTGGAAAAGAATTATGCAAAAGTATTTAATAGTCTCTTCCAATATGCCTTATCAACAAACTTTGGTTTCTCTGATAGTCTCATATGTTGCATGAAAATATATCAGTCTGCATATTCTTTCAGGAACCTGGTCATCCACCTAACAACAGCCAACACAAAAAGTCAGCTTTAAAGTTTGGGACATTTTTAAACCATGCTGTCCTTGCCTCGGCAATGCCTCTCACGAATGATTCTGCCTCGTAGTGCATCTCATTAACTTAGGGAAGGGGAGGGGAGACACAGCAGGAGCTTCAGTCTGATTCAAGATGGGAGAGTTTAATAACTTTGCTGACAAAACTAACACATTCATTTCCCCTCTGTACTAAGAAGGACTCATATTTATTAGAGTTTTATAATGGAATGCAATTAAACATAGTCTGCTGCTATGTTTATCCACTCAACACTCACCACCCCCAGATAATAGGAGAAAGTCAATTTCCCCCATACACTTTATCACTTTGCCTTTTCACAAAATGTACCCGAGTATCAGCCAATTCTGTTACATAATGTTAAATTATTGTAAATAGCTTTCTTACTTTAAATATTTCTAGATGATGAAGTGCAGAGCTAGCCACTGTCCCCTGTTTCCCCACTCTGCATTATATGTGACCCATCAATTATAGTTAACAAACCAACACAGCATCCTGATCTATACAACAGCACCCAGCTTTCTCAATGGTGATTTTACTGTGTAAACTTATGCTTTTCTGGAATACTGCATTGTGTTTCCTTATCATATTTCCTTAGATTTGGGGCTGTCGACTTCTCGGGCTTGTTTCTGATGACCTTCACAGTTTTGTTTGTTTTAAGTAAGTTTTTTTTTTTTCATACAATATATTTTGATCATGTTTCCCCTTCCTGAACTTGTCCCAGATTCTTGACAGTTTTGAAGAAGTCACAGGCAGGTATTTGTAGACTCCCTTGAGTATGACTTGTCTGTTTTTCACATTTAGAGAAGTATTTGGGGTTTTGGAGAGGAAGATCACAGAGGTCAATTATCATCTTCCTCAATCATGTTCATGATAACAAGAGCCCACACTATCAATGCAGTATCACAATTAACTTTTGACAGCACCGAGACAGTAGTGTTACATTGCTCAGTTATGTTAATAGTGACAGTTAACCTGGATACTCTAGTTTAGATCTGGGATATTCCCCACAAAGGACCAAATACTCAGTTGCTAGCCTGGGCTACTACACCTGGGCAAGTGGTAGGGATTTTAGGATTCAATTCCTAGTGGGATTTCTCTCAATGCGCACAGTGTAGACTCCATCTTTGGTCTTGGTTTCAGTTTCTAACTTTGGAGTTAATGCCTCTGACCTCCTCTGTGTGCTTTTCTCGATGGTAGTGTGGGACATCACCAAAGGCCAAAAAACACAATAATCACAGGCTGAAATCTCCACAGCTGTGACCTCTCACCCACGTTTCCTCTTTATAAGTTTATTATGACAATGTAGTACTTGCTACAATAACATGTTAATCGATTCTTGAAAATCTCAAGCTCACTTAGTTTTCTATGAAACATAACTAATCTTCAGAAGCTATTGTTTCATGTTTTGATTTGATTTGGGGATTTGAAAACTGGGGTGGACAGTACAAGACAAACTGGTGTGGAACTCACTAGGTAGCCCAGGTTAGCCTCTAACACCTAGTGACCCTCTTGCTTCTGCCTGCCAAAGGCAGTTGGAATGGGTTATAGAATGAGCCCAAAAGCCTGACAAAAGGTAGCCTCTTTTAAGTTCAATGAAATCTTAGTCTGGAAGCTTGATAATTAGGATTCAGAGAATCATGATGCCCAGTGAATTTTAAAATGATCATATGTGGAGATGAAAGAAAAAACACATGAATAAAACATAAAAGTTGCATTTATATTGAAGAAGTAACTAATTAAGAAGGTACAAAGAGAGAAATTAAAGGAATTTCTGAGGAAAAAGTGATAGAATCTAGGACAAGGAAGAACTCAATACAAGTCATTATCAGTTTGATTGTTGAAATGTTAAAAGCTTCCAGACAGTTGAGAACAGTTTTATTGGTCAAGTTAAAAATTCAAACAGCTTGATAGAAATATTTTTGAAAATTAAGTTTTAATTTTTCAAAAATGTAAAAATCAAAAAAGTCCAGTCAGCATTTTCTAATACTTTACCATACCTGGTGTAGAAATTCATTTTATATGTTTGTGTGTGTGCCTGCATCTGTACGCCTGCATGCCTGCAGGTCGCTGTGGAGACATCCGCTGGGGTTAGTGTTATAGACAGTTGTAAACTGCTGGATGTGGTTCTGGGAACCCAACGTGGGTCTTCTGTGAGAGCCCTGTGCAAGTGCTTCCACTGCTGAGCTATCTCTTCATCTCCCTTCACAATAAATTTTAAAATGAAGAATGTCAATAGGACGAGAGGTAACAAAACCTACGTTCCAAAGCCATTGCCGAGTAACAGTGTAAAAAATGGAGTGGCATGTGTTAAAGTATTGAACATCAGGAACTCAACTGGAGCCCGTAGTGAAATGCCATTTGCATCTGCCTGAAGGGAAAATGTCTAAGTGTGGTGTGAGGAAACAGTTCCAAACAGCTTTGGTGAAAATATAATCTGATTCATCATCTCAACACACAGTAACTTAACAGTGTATATTTCCAGTGGCCACAGCCTCTAGCAATCACCCACTATCCTAACTAGACTAGACTACACCTATGAATAAAATTCCCTTTTGATTATAAGAAGTTACAAGCTCATATACAGTTGATTGTTGCACATTGAGTTTGTGTCCTTAAATTAATTGTATGCAGGTCCCAAGAGTTGTGGTGCCTGAAAGGTTTTTAAAATAAACGTCATGCCATCAGTAGAACTAAATTTACTTCTTTCCCCTCTAGTTCCCAGGTTTCTGTTTCTTGTTCTCGCTAATAGTGCCAGCTGAGTTTCAATCCTGTTTGGATAGGTGAGATTGGGTATGCTTGCCCTGTACTGGACTTGAAGGTTAGAGGTTTCCATGATGTAGTAAGATGGGGTGAGGTTTTCCTGTTTGGTAAATTCCCTCTATGCCCAGTTTGTTGAGGACTTTTTGTTTGTCTTGTTTCATGAAAGAGTGTTGAATTTTGTGAAAAAGCTTTATAAATATTGAAATTAATCTCTGACATTTAAAGCCTTTTCTGCCCTGAATTGTAGTATTGTAGTGTAGCACATTAACTCCCCAAGGTTGAATCCTTCCTCTATTCCGGCAATGAATCTTACTCCACATTTGTGGATGATGTTTTCTTGTGCTAATGCATTCCTTCGCCCATATTTTATTGAGGCATGCACATCTGTGTTATTACCATGGGATGTCTTCAGCTTTGTTATAAGGGGGTGCTGACAATACAACATGAGTTTGGGCATCTTCTCCCCAGCTTTTGGAAAGAGTTTGAGAATGACTGGTGTTGATTTATCTTTAAACATTGGACTAGAAAAGTGACTGAATGCTCCAAGTACAGCTTAATGGGCCATTCTAGTATGAAGCTTAAAGATAAGTGGGGCAGAGTTATAAAATGTATGGTTTGGAGAGAAAAAGCATCGGGAAGCTTAATTGTTACAGCCAAAGCTTATGCTACAAAAGCAACTATATTGTTACACTCGTGGAAATTTCCCCTAGAGATTGGGCTTTCGGGTAACTGTTACTTGTTTTCTCATAATTCTGTCTTCAGTTTAGGATGCACATTGATTATTAGGCATATTGTCCAACTACTACGATACTTTTTTCGCCTTATTTAAAAACAGAATAAAGCACAAAATAATGGTAAGATTTATAAATACATATTCATCATACTATTTCAATGATATAAGTACAAAATCTTGTATCATGAAAAATATAATGCTGGGCTAACATAATACTCTATTCAGCCATAAAATGTCTGCAATAGGTAATTTAGAAGGTAGTGCAAATAATTTATACAGTGCCACATTAAAAACAATTCTACCCAGGGCAAATTCCCTTTGATGTCTTACAAATTTACCATTTACTCAAATATACCTTAAAAACTTGAGGGTTATATTTTATAACAACATACTTATTTGTTAAAGTGTCATATAAGCATATAGCTTCTACTTTAATATATTAATTTTACAAATATTCTAGAATCACCCTCTCTAACAAGGCCTGGTGCTCATATGCCCAGCACTTATGAGACTAAGGCAGGAAGATTGGCTTAAGTTTTGGGCCAGCCTGCACTATGAAATGCATGTCAGGGAAGCCTGGTATAGACCATGAAACTCTATCTCAACAAAATAAAAATAATAGATTTTTAAAAAATTAAAAGGGAAAGAGAGAAAGACAGTGAGAGAAAATATGAAAATGAAAAATATGTTATAAAATTCTAAAGAAATAATAAAATAATTATCTGTAAATATCTCAAATACAATACCCATAGTCATTAAAAATTATCCTTAATTGCATCATATCAGCCTTCAGTGTTTATGATTTTGTTTACCTTTTGTCATTTTTCAAGATAATGACTATACTTACAAATTGAGCCCTGCTATCTTTTGGTTAACAATTTGACCTGCCAGTGAAATTCCAGAGCAGTGAGATTTGTAGGTTCTAGTAGAGGATTCAACCATATTTCTTGATGAGAAGGCATGAACAAGTAATAGGCAGTATGGTAGAGAAGTGGCAGAAAATTAGATCTCAGAGAGGCTGGAGATACCTGTAGGACACTGATTTCCACTGCTTGCAAAGAGAAGCAATGGTGTCTCATGGCAGTGTGCTACCAGAGGAAACTGTAGGAAGGGG